AAGTGCTCTACCACAGAGCCACAGCCCCAGCCCCAGCCTCTATAATTAGAACTTTCAATGGCTGTACACTTGGTCCTTTATATCAAGGTGTCTGTAAGTGTTGGTGCTGCTTCCCTAGACTCTTTTGTGACAGATGCCCCATTGTTCGAATTGGGAAAGGCTTACTGTCCCAGCCATAGTGAGGGCCCAGCAGGTGGAGCCACTCTTGCCTGCCCCTGTGGAATGTTGCGGCCTTCCAGCCCTCCATGCGTCRCTGTGGTGGGAGCCGAATGTGGGCCTGGCAGGCTGGCAAGGTTTTGTYCCCAGGTTGAAAGACTTGGAGTCTCTTTGTATTCTGTGGCCCTTGAGAGTCCTKCCATGTCCTGGCTGAAGGTATCTGTTCTCGGGAAATGCTGACCGGATTCCATCCTGGAGGTACCTGGGTGAGGGAAGACTGGTCCACYTTTTTGGCCTCCCTGGTCAGGTTGTGATCACCACAGATGAGCGTTTAGGGAATGGCCTGCTGAAGAGAGTTGGCTGATGCCGTATTCAGCTGTTCACCTGCAGTGTTGAGAGGGATAGAGGGAGGGATAGAGGAGGTGCTGTGTGGGGGCCTTTTGGGGCACCCTTGGCTCCCTTTCTCACTCTGGTCCAGGATGTGGGTGTGGCTTTGTCTGCACCTCAGAGCCGGCCAGTGTCTTCCTGGAGAGCAGCCCTTAGCACTTTTTGCTCCCCAAAGGGCTCTTTGAGTGGACTGGAGTTCCAGGTCGCTCCCCCACTGTCCACCAGGGGGCGTTCTCACCCAGGCCTGGCTATGTGGTACTTCCTGCCTGAATCTTTTGTTATAAAACTTGTAGAAATACCAAAAGGTTTAGAAGCAGAGTGTATTTGAAGGACAGGCATTCACGGTTGGCAATTTTGGCCAGAGGTCATACTTGGACTCTCTAAAAGATGAAAGAAGAAAGCCCAAATGTGACCCTTAACATGCTGAGATTTGCTGAATAAGTGGTTTTTATACCAGCCATGTATGATTCCAACTGTGTGTGTGTTCATATGTCATGTGTGAGTGCTTGGGGGGTAAAGCACAGTCAAGAGGCAGCTCCCAGAGCCCATGTGGCCTGCGCCGCCTGGGCCGGGTGGCTGGGGTATTGGGGAGAGACAGGGGCATGAGGGCACGGAGGGTGAAGGAGGGGGAGTGGAGGGCAAGGTGGGCATGGCTGATGGAGGTGGCAGCGACTTGGCAGCTTTGCAAGTGTGCTTTGGGTAGCACTGGAGTGAGAAGATTGAGGAGCAAGGAGATTACATTACACTCTGAGCCAAAGCCGAAGTCACCCTCTTAYTGAACACGGCATCTCTCCATGGTCCTGTTCTGTAAGGAGACCCCTGGCTGCCCCGAGTCTGAGCAGAGATGGGTGGCCAGAATGGAGGCCACCAATCCCTGTCCCTGGAAGGTGGGCTTCAGGGGTTTAAGCTTTGACCAGTGTCCTTTTCTTTTTCTTTTCCCTTCCTTTCCCTTCCCTTCTTCCCTCTCTCTCCCTCCCTTCCCTTCCTTTCTTTTCTTCCCTTTTCTAACCTCACCTTTTGCCCTCCCCTCCCTGCCCCCTGCCCCCTTCCCCCTTCCTTTCYTTTCTTACTCCCTTTCTCTCTCTTTCTTTCTTATGTTAGGCTTGAACCCAGGGGTGTTCTACCACTGAGCCACACCCCCAGCCTTTTTTATTTTTTGAGATAGGGTCTCACTGAGTTGCTGAGACTGACCTGGAACTTGTAGTACTCCTGCCTTGGCCTCCTTGGTAGCTGGGATTACAGGTTGCATCACCACACCTGATGATCAGCATCTTTTCTTAATGCAGTATTACTTGACTTTTATTAAAAGCACATGCCCATTTAAATTAGAGCATCAGGGACTCTTTTTTTAAAAATTTTTTTTGGTACTGCGGATTGAATTCAAGGGCACTCAGCCTTATTTTGTATTTTATTTAGAGACAGGGTCTTACTGAGTTACTTAGCACCTTGCTTTTTGCTGAGGCTGCCATTGAACTCACAATCCTCCTGCTTCAGCCTACCGAGCTGCTGAGATCACAGGCATGCATCACCGTGGCCAGCCTTTTTTTCTTTTTTAAAAAATAAAGGTTGGAAGGTGTGTGTGCTGGAAGCAGGTGAGCTGAGGTGTGCTGTCCTGGTCTACATATGGAACTACAGACAGTCATGGGTCTCCTTTCTCTAAAAGATTTCAAGTATAAAAATTCTAGAGTTTAAAAAAAAACATCATCACAAAACAAAGGTAATGAATGCAGATAGTGAGACCTGTGTTGGATTTCTACAGATCCAGAGTTGAGACAATGGTGTTTGAAGCCTCCCTTGCTCCTGGTGCACAAAGTTGCGCAGCCAGATGGGCTGCCCTCTGGCTGCCTCTCCCAGGGTCTCCCTGTGTCCCTGTGTCAACAGCTCGCTAGCCCACTCAGTCTGCACACAGCTTCTTATGGAGTTTGTAGTGACTCGCTTGGGCAGGACAAAAGACAGAATGTTTCTGGGCTGCCACTTGTCCAGGAGCCTTGCTCTGTTGCAGAGGGTTGCTTGTGGCTGTCCTTCATTCTCCTGGCCTGGGATTGTGTTGAAGCCCAGGAGCCAGTAGGGCCAACCCTGGCCCCTGCTRGTGGCTGGAAACTTGCATGGCCTGGGGCTGCTTTTTGGGTTTTCTTGCCTCCTCTGATTCTGGCTGGATTCCAGCTAACCTGAGAGTCAGCTGCTGATCTTTATCAGCATGTCACAGACAAGCAGGAGACTGAGCTTCTGCTCTGCTACTCTGTGGCTGGCACTGAGTCCCTGTGGTGCAGCTGGCCACCCCGTGCTTCTTGCAGAGGGCCTGTCCCAGGCTTGGGTGATGCACTGCCCTGTCACTTCTGCATTTCCATTTCTTTTCACCTGTGTCCCCCGTTTGGTTGTCTTGTGTAGGTGTCCTTAATTGTAGAAGCCTCAAGTCCCTGTGACTGTGCTTTGTCGTAAGTGTACTGGCCCCTGTGCTGTCACGAGGCTTACTCCTTTGGGACAAGAGGCAAGTTCTGCCATCCCTGCCTGTGCTCATACTACCTGGCTTCTTTACTTCAGCATAAAGCATATGAAGATCCAGCTTCCAGTGGGATGGTGGTCTGGTGAACCATCCATATGTACATGCAATGTTTCCAAAGGGTATTGTAGCCTGAGTCCCAGTGCCGAAGCCCTGCAGAGATGTCCTGGGCTTACTCTCAGTTGGCTGTGACCACACTGAGCACTGGTGCTTTCCTAGACAGCTGTTCTCTGTGGGAGAGTGGCATACAAGTGCGTAAAGGCTCAGCAGCTCTGGGGCCACTTAGGATGTGATCCCTGGGCTCCAGAAGCCTGCACTCCAGTGGTGTAGCCTCTGAGATGCCTGGCCTGGGCATGGTTGAGGGCTGTGGGAGGGACACGGAAGCCCAGCCTCTACTGTGTAGGCACCCCAGGCTACAGGGGGACAAAAGTTCACTGGGACCCATATTGTGTTAGGAACATGCTCGGAATATGCAAACAGGTATGGTCTGCCCTCAGGCTTTTGGGGTCAAGCTATACCACTGGGCTAGTGGAGCAGAAGGGCCTCACTGCTTGGCTTGTGTCCCTTCCCTGCACAAAGACTGGACCATGCTTTGTTCTGCATGCAGTGAAGGGGCGTGGGTCTTCACATCAGGCTCTGGCTAACCAGTTTCTTCTGTGTTTCCAGGTGCTGGCAAGAACCCAACCCTGGGCGGTGGCTTCCATGTGAACCTGGGGAAGGAGTCAAGAGCACAGACCCTACAGAATGGTATTGCCATTATGGATGTTGCTGACAGTGGTGTGGGCCAGCAGGCGGAGCTGCAGTGCTGGGATGGAGATGGGAGCAGAGTGGCTGGCTGCTGCTTCAGGTCCTGTGGTGCCACCACCCTCCACCTGTGGCCTGCCATGGCCTGTCACCCTCCAAGCCCAGGGATGCTTGCACTTCTGGGAGGAACTGCTCCTTGAGTCCCCTCCCCTGTCATCAGAGCCTGCATGGGCATCCTGTAGGCCCTGTCAAGGCTGCTCAGAAAGAAGTGCCTGGACCCTGTTGCGCCCATAGCTCTTTGTTCCTGGTCTTAGTCAAGTTGAGTATAGAAGCAGCAAGTCTATAGTAATTTGCCATGACAGTAATATTTTCATTAGGTTTTATAGTAGTGCCAGTCTTTAACAAACTGTAGAATTGCTTTTCCAGTCCTTGGTCAGTTGCTACAGGAGTAGGAGTGCTTGGGAATATTATTCCCAGCAGAAACGTGTCTTAGCTTCCCGTTGTGCCATTTGCTCTGACCTTATGGACTTACTAATAGACTAGTGTAGTGAACTCTTTTCTTCTGATTTCCGGTTTGATTATTCTGTAGCAGAGATGAGGTTCTGTAGGATTTCAGCCTTTGAACAAATGCCTCTAGGCTTATGCCATGGCCCAGCTAATGGTCAGCTTTGGATCTTTTTCCTGCAGGAGGATGGAGCAGGGCTGTGGGCTTACCCCTGTGGACTTTGGTTCTGTTTGTTCTGCTAACAGTGAGAGGGCAGGAAAGCCTCCCACCCACCTCTGGCTATGCCTCCTGCACATGGATTTGTGCATTTTTGCCTGCTTTAGCACTCCTGATCGGAGCACACACATGGGATCCTCACTGCTTGTAGCACTTGTGGTCTTCTCACCCACCCAGGTGTGGCTCACCCGTGCTTCTGGTCCTTGCCCAGATTATCTCCATTTTTGCTGCCACTGATTCTGYGTTTGTTCCCAGTAGTGCATGTTTATTTCCAGAGCCTACTCTGTTGATTAGAGCAGTACACCCAGCTGAGGGCAGAGTGCCTTTTGTGCAGACACATTCATCACCGTGAAATCAGAAACTAAACAGAAAGATAACCCATTTGACTTCTAAACACTCCTTCAAACACCCTAGCCTTGCTTTAAGTAGGAAATCTATACAGTGTGCAAACTCCCAGGGCATGACAGTCATGGAGGCAGCCCATTCCTCACATGGGAGTCCTGCACCCTATGCAAGTTACCAGTTAGTTCTCAGCTTCCAAGAGCCTTCAGCTGTCGCCCTCTGTAGACCACTCTCCTGGGGCTTTCCCCTGAGGTCCGGGGTGGCTGGCTGCAGGGCCACATCTCCCTCCCACTCTTCGTGTGKATTTCACCACCACCTACCTGCTCAGGTGTTCCTGCCTACACCTTGCTTTTCCCACTGGGCCCTGGTGTGAATGGCCTACTGTCAGCCTCTGCCCCACTGCAGGGACCTTTTGCCTGTTCTTGTGAGTTCATGTCAACTTTCTCTCTTTCCTTCATCTGGTACAGCTTGGGTGAGTGTCTAATGGGGCAGGTTTCAAGCATTCTTTCCAGAACCCCCTGGAAACGCAAGGGCACCTGGCTCCCTTTGGTGGCTGCATTTCCAAAGCATTGGGGTTCTGCTGCTTCTCAGTTCTTTCTTTCTTTCTTTTCTGGTGCAGAGTTTGAACCCAGGGGTGCTTAACCACTGACCCACGTCCCCACCATTTTTTTTTTTTTTTTATTTAGGGACAGGGTCTTGCTAAGTTGCTTAGGGCCTCACTAAGTTGCTGAGGCTGGCTTTGAACTTGTGTCCTCCTGCCTTAGCCTCCCAAGCCACTGGGATTACAGGCGTGTACAGCTTCTTTGTGATTATCTTCCTTTGTAAAATGCTTCACCACCTTTTTCTGGTTTGCCCATGGTTTGTCTTTTTATTTTGCTTATTCTGTGCTTCTCACCTCCTCCCACCCTGTGTACATTGGAAGTTGTACATTGTAGGACAGTTCTCAGAAAGGCTACCCTAAGTTTTTAGCAGAGGCACCCTTATTTCAGCAAGGGTCATCCCATGTTGGAGCATAGCTCATGATGCAGCCATTTATCACCCCTGACTCCAGCCTGGTGGGTTTGTTTGAAATCTGTGAATTTGGCTTTAGAATATTGCTGTTTTTGTTAAGTCTTGATTGCCTTTCCTAAAAAACAGTAAATATGGACCTAAATGAATGGCTTCTCCTGCCACCGAAGGGCTGCCGTGTCTACCTTACTTCCCTCCTGCACTGTGCCCTCCCTTGGGCTCCACTTTGAGTTTGTTGGGCACATGTCATGTGATGCTGGGGAAGGGTTCTGGGGAAGAGAATCTCTTGACTCCCTATTTGTATGTGGGTTGTCTTCCCACTGGTATGGCTGTTAGAGTAGTTTCAGGCTCACAGAAAACTTGAGCAGAAAGTACAGAGATGGTCCCTGTACCCTGCCCCATATGCGCAGCTCCCCACCCTGGCCTTGCCCCTACCACAGGAGTGCACCTGTTACCATAGGTGAGCCATGATTTGCATTGGGGTCACTCTTCTGTGGACATTCTGTGGGCTTGGACAAGTGTGCACGGCTCATATTCACCATTGTCCTGTCCAAGGGGAGCCCCCAGTTGGAAATTGCTCTGTTACCCTGTTGGTGCTCCTGGCCACCAAGGTTCTTTGTGCTATCTCCAGTTTTACCTTTTGCAGAAGGGCACAGAGTTGGACTCACCCAGCATGCAGCCTTGTCAGACTGTATTCTTTCACTCAGTGATGTGAGTAAGATTTCCTCCTGGTCCTCTCTGTAGACCAGCTTGATAGCTGGTCTGTGTCTCATTGTTTGGGTGGACCTCAGTTTTTCTTCTTTGGTGCTGGGGCTCAAACCTGAGCTTGTGAGCATTCTAAGCATGCACTCTACTGCTGAGCCACCCCCACACCATTCATTCATCCATCAMCTGCTGAGGGCCTCTGGGTTGCTTTCAAGTTATAGTGAATAAAGTTGCTGTAAACATTTGTGTGCAGGTGGTACAGAGTGCAATTGCTGTGTCAGGGAAAGAGCAGGTTTGATTCTGAGTGAAGCTGCCCGTGGTTGCATTCCTGCCAGCAGCGAGGGAGGGTTTCTAGGGCTCTGCACCTCAGCAGTACTCGCTGTAGTAGGGGTCTGGGTTTTGGCCATTCAAGAACATACTTTTTAAAAGTATATAGGTAGTTTTTTTTTTTTTTATTGCTATGTAGCATTTTAGATGTGACGGTGCCATAGTTGGCCTTGTTTTCCTCATAAGGGACATGCAGTTTCCTGGTTTGGCTGTTCCTGTCACACTGCTGTCACATTCCTATGCATAGTCCTTTGGTGGACGTAGGACTGGCTTCTCTCAGGAACACACCTGTGAATGAGGTTTTGGTCCTGGTGCAGGTGTGTGCTTATCTTTATTGGACAGGGCCAGGCCACTTATCCACAGCATCTGGGAGCCTTGCCCTGTCACAGCAGGTGGGGTGTGGGAGTGCAGGATTGGGGGGACTCTCTGAGTCCAGCTGACTACCTTTGCTTATGCTTTCTGGCCCTCTGGACATCCTCTGAGTGTGAAGTACCCGTTAATGTTTTTGCACATTTTTTAAAAATTGGGTTGTCATTGTCTTGCTGATTTGTAGAAGTCCTTTATTCTGAGCTCAAGTCCTCTATTGGATATGCATATTTTGAATCTTCTATTTATAGTTTCTTTTTTCATTCTTTAGTTTATTTATTATTATTATTATTATTATTATTATTACTACTACTACTACTTTAGTTATAGATGGACACAATATCTTTATTTATTTATTTATTTTGTATGGTGCTGAGGGTTGAACTCAGTGCCTCACATGTGCTAGGAGAGCACTCTACCACTGAGCCACAATCTTAGCCCSTACCTTGTTATCTTTTGATGAACAAAAAATTTTATTATTTATTTATTTATTTAAATTTTTAATTTGTTTTTTAGTTTTCAGCAGACACAACATCTTTGTTTGTATGTGGTGCTGAGGATGGAACCCGGGCCGCACACATGCCAGGCGAGCGCGCTACTGCTTGAGCCACATCCCCAGCCCCATGAACAAAAATTTAAAAAAAATTTTTTTAAATAAAATTTTAAATTTTAATGAAGTTTGAGTTTGATTTTTTATGGTTAGGGCTTTTGGTGACTTGTTAGACATTCTTACCTGCCCTAGGTGTGAATTTACTCTCCTATTTTCATCTGGAAGCTTCACTGTTTTAGATTTTGAGCTGGAGTGTGGTTCAATGGTCACGTGCTTACCCAGCATGTGCAAGGGCCTGAGTTCAATCCCCAGTACCACATACATGAAGTTTATTGTTTTAAATTTGATGTTTAGGTTTCTGAAAAGCCTGAAAGTAGTCTTTTATGTATGGTGAAGCTGGGGCTGAAGTTCACATTCCAGTTATGAAGATGCAGTTTTTCCAGCACCCTATATCAGAATAGCTGTCTCCCCCAATCCACTGTCTTGGCTGTGTGTGGGAGTCTGTGCAGACTCTGGTGACATCACTGTGTCTTCTGACTGTCAGTCTCACAGGCCTCTGCTGTGTCCTCAGATTCCTGTGCTTTAGCTCCTTCTGTTGTTCTTTGCTTGTTGTTTTGGCTATTTCTGCTAATTTGCATTTCTTCTTTCTTTTTTTTTAAAGGGAATTTTTTTATGTCTTTATTTTGTTTATTTATTTTTATGTRGTGCTGAGAATCGAACCCAAGGCCTCACACATGATAGGCGAGCGCTCTACCGCTGAGTCACAGCCCCAGCCCTAATTTGCATTTCTACATAAATTTTAGAATCAGCTGGTTGATTTCCAAAAGAAAGCCTGTCCAAATTTTGCCTGGGATTACATTGAATCTGTAAGTCAAATAGTAAAGAATGACTACATTGACCCCTTAGCGTGTTCTACCTTAACAAGAACAAGGTCTGTGAGCATACATTGTTGTCTCTTCCTTTCCACCTTTCCTCTTTTTTACT